ATCCATCCATCCATCCATCCATCCATCCATCCATCCATCCATCCATCCATCCATCCATCCATCCATCCATCCATCCATCCATCCATCCATCCATCCATCCATCCATCCATCCATCCATCCATCCATCCATCCATCCATCCATCCATCCATCCATCCATCCATCCATCCATCCATCCATCCATCCATCCATCCATCCATCCATCCATCCATCCATCCATCCATCCATCCATCCATCCATCCATCCATCATATTATTTCTTCACAGACAGTCTCTAGAAGTTCCATGTGGGTGTTTTCTACTCTCTGGTGAGCACAGGTGAAGGCTTTTTGGGCTGTCGAAGAATAAAATGTAAATCCTCCTGGGGTCTAGGAAAGAGAAAGGCTCAATATCCATGCTTCAGTGCCAAGTGTGTCATCAAGACCATGGCTGGTCATCAAAAGAGTGTGGGACACCTGTTCTTGAGGACCAGTTCTTCTACGATTACAATCTCCAAGTGACAAAAACTGTGAACAGCGTAAGTCCAGCAGCGATACAAAGCCATTTCTACATATGACCTGGCATTTAATGGAGGGGAATGTGAGGAATGCAGCCAACCAGGGAGACTGGAGGCTGAAGTTGCTATCTGACTGTGGGAAGTCCTCCGCCTTCAATCTGCTCCACCATAGGCTGCCCTGCTTAGTTTTTGTTTGTTTGTATTAATGTTTTAATTTTCATTTCTTTTTATGGTGTTTTGCTTGCATCTATGTCTGTGTGAGGGCATCAGATCCTCTGGAGTTATGGACAGTTGTGAGCTGACTTGCAGATGCTAGAAAACGAACCCAGGTTTTCTGGAAGAGCAGCTGGTGCTCTTAACCACTGAAACTTTTCTCTAGCCCCCCACCACTTAGTGGTTTTTTATATATCAAATTGACACAAGCTAGAGTCATCTGGGAAGCAGAAACTCAGTTGAGAACATGCCCCCATCAGATTGGCGTGTAAGTAAGTAAATCTATGGGGGCATTTCTTCCTTCCTTCCTTCCTTCCTTCCTTCCTTCCTTCCTTCCTTCCTTCCTTCCTTCCTTCCTTTTGTTTGGCAGGGGTTCTCTGTGTAAGAGTCCGTGTGGTCTTGGAACTCTCTTTGTAGACCAGACTGGCCTCAAACTCACAGAGATCCACTTGCCTCTGCCTCCTGAGCTCTGGGATTATAGCTGTGTACTGCCTCCCACCGACCAGTTGGGGGCATTTTCTTTGCTGATGATTGATGGGGGAGGGTTTAGCCTACTGAGGTCAGTTCCATTCCTGGGTAAGAAAGCAGGCTGAGCAAACCATGGAGAGCAAGCTAGTAAGCAGCATCCCTTCCACAGTCTCTGCTTCAGTTCCTTCCTCCATGTTCCTGCCCTGACTTCCCTTCATGTTGGACTACAAGCTGGAAGATGAAATAAACTCCTTCTCCACAAACTGCTTTTGGCTATGGTGTTTATCACAGCAATAGAAAGCAAACCAGTAGACCTGGCTCACAGGAGGAGACTACTGCTCCAGGCTCTCTCCATCCTTCTTTTATATACTCCTTGCCTCTTATCTGCCAGATGTTTTTTTCTAGCTAGTTATTTTTATTTGCTTTATAGTTTACATGGTCTTGTCATGTATTCTCAATGCTGTTCTTGATTATTTCTTTTAAAAAATTCAAAGTTTTGTGTGGTGGTAAACATCTTTAATACCAGACTATGGGGTTGTTGAGGCAGATGAATCTCTGAGTTTGATGCCTGCCTGGTCTATGTAGCAAGTTCCAGGCTAGCCCAGTGACACGGTGAGAACCTGTCTCAAAAATACAAAGCAGAACAAAGCAAAATAAACTTTTTTGTTAAGGTATTTGTTATTTGAATTAAGGGGTTTCAGAATGACATTCTGTGAATCCACTCGAGTGCATCTTGTGTTGGCCATATTGTTCCCTTTCTTCCTTCCAAAGAGTGTCCTCCTTTTCACAAATAGTCCCTCTTCTGTTGTCATATCATTATACATATACACACGTGTAGGGATTGCTTACTTAATATAATGTTCCCCAGTAACACCCATGTCCCTGAATATGACATAACTGTATTCCTTATGGCTGAAAGCTCCCCTGTGTGTATAAACCACATTTTCTTTATCCATTGGCCTGTGGGCGGGCATCTCAACTGATTGTGTGAGAGTGTGGTTGTAAAGGAGTCTGCTGTGCTGGCTTGGGTCCTTTGATTGTCTTCCCAGGAATAATACGAAGAGTGTCATGGTAACCCTACTCCTAGTCTTTTTATTTTTTTTTTTAAGATTTTATTTATTAGCCAGGCGTTGGTGGAACATGCCTTTAATCCCAGCACTCGGCAGGCTGAGGCAGGCGGATCTCTGTGAGTTGGAGGCCAGCCTGGTCTACAAGAGCTAGTTCCAGGACAGCCTCCAAAGCCACAGAGGAACCCTGTCTCAAAAAACCAGAAAAAAAAAAAAAGACTTTATGTATTTATTATGTGTATACAGTCTTCTGCCTGCAGGCCAGCAGAGGGCACTAGATTTCATTCAAGGTGGTTGTGAGCCATCATGTGGTTGATGGGAATTGAACTCAATCTCTGGAAGACCAGCTAGTGCTCTTAACCACTGAGCCATCTCTCCAGCCCAACTACTCCTAGTCTTTTAAGGCTTTTCTGTGTAGCCCTGGCTGTCCTGGAACTTGCTCTGTAGACCAGGCTGGCCTTGAACTCACAGAGATCCACCTGCCTCTATGTCTCAAATGCTAGGATTAAAGGTGTGTGCCATCCTTGCCCAGCCTTTTTTTAAATGGTAACCATTTGACTGGGATGAAGCAGAGCTCAGTATAGTTTGGATTTTTCATTGCTCTGATGGTAAGAATGTTTGTTGATATTCTTAGTGTACTTACTGGCAATTTGTACTTCGTCTGTTATTAATTTTTAAGGCTTATTTATTTTATTTTACATGTATGAATGTGTTGCCTACATATCTATCCTGTGTGTGCCTGGTACCCTCAGCAATCAGAAGAGGACATCAGATCCTCCGGAACTGGAGTCACAGATGGTCATGCACTGGGGGCTGGGAACCAATCTGGATCCTCTGTAAAAGGAGCCAGTGCTCTCAACAACTGATCCATTTCCCCAGCCCCCATATTAAAAATATTTCATCAATTCTTTGAGCATTTCATACAATTTATTTAGATCATATTTACACAATGTCTCCCCTTAACTCTTCCCAGGTTCATTCCCATATCCATACCCTGCCCCCAGTTTTCATGATTCCCCAGTTTTAATGTCCTGTTTTATTTTATTGTATTTGAGACAGTGTCTCACTGTGTAGCCTGGAACTCACAAAGACCCACCTGCCTCTGCCTCTGCCTTTGCCTCTCATATACTGGGATTAAAGGTGTGTGCCAAAATGCCTGGCTCTTTAGGGCTTTTTAGATATAACATTATATCATCTGCAAGATAAATTTATTTTTTCCTTTCAAACCACATAATCCGTTTGTTTCTTTTTCTTGCTGAAGCCATTTACTATGGCTGAAACTTTAAACCCTATACTGAATAGAAGCAGAGAGAATGAGGCTGGAGAGATGGTTTTGTGGTTAGTAGAACTTGCTGCTTTTGCAGAGAACCCAAGTTTGGTTACCAGCACCCATGTAGGGTGGCTCACTGATACCTATAACTCCAGCTCTCCAGGGAATCGGATACCGTCTTCTGGCCTCTACAATAATGTGCACATATACACATACAGACATGCATACATACTCACATAATGAAAATAACAAATCTTTTAAAAAGTGCAGACAATGGATATCCTTGTATTTTCCTGATTTTAAGGGAAATACTTTTTTAGTTTTCCTACATTTACTGTAATGCTAGCCATGGGTTGTTATATACAGCCATTATTATGTTACAATATGTTCCTTCTAGGCCTGGTTCCTCCTAAATTTTAATTTTGAAGGGATGTTGAACTTTGTCAAAGGCTTTTTCTGTATTGTCATGATCATGTGGTTTCTGTCCCTGGGTCTATTGATGTGCATGCAGTGTTTGCTCTTGGGTGTTTTCCTTTTCTTTTTTGTTTGTGGTCACAGAGTTTGGGAGGTGTGTCTCTTCTTTCCCTGTGGTGTTAGTCAGTGTCTGTTATAGATAAACAAACTGATAGAGTGAGTATATGTTAAAGGGGGATTTATTAGATGGGCTTAAATGATGTGGTCTGGCTAGTCTAACAATGGCTGTTTAGTTTGGGTTTTTATTGCTGTGATTATAAAGAAAACATTTAATTGGGGTGGGTGGCTCACTTACAGTTTCAGAGGTTCAGTCCATTATCATCATGATAGGGAGCATGGTGGTGTGCAGGTAGACATGTTGCTGGAGCAGAGAATGCTAC